AATTGAAGGATATGCTGACAGTATAGTGAAGGTTGAATTTTGACAAACATTTTGAATCGATGCATAGTTGCCAAATCAGCTAGTAAATTTTCCGGAATTTCATGCATCCTTTCTTTTCAAAGGGAAAAATGACGTCATAGGTTTTAAAATGTTTTTATTTATTTTTTTACTTACTTTAGTTACATATTGGCTAAATCGCCGCCAGCGATATAGAGAATTGCTTAGTTATAGCTCTAGCAATGAAAACACACTAAGCGGTTTGGTTGGTTTGGTTTAGATTGGGTTGGTCCTGTTTTGTTTGATTCTTTGTTTTTTTTTCTTATGTTAGAAAATTTTTTCGCTTATTTTACCAAAAATGCATTTTTCCTCAACTCAAGCTCTTTATGTTTGTCTTAACAGCATTAGAATAGACGCTTCATTTTATAGAAAATTTCTTAATTTTGAGGGTCATAAAGTGAAACGGATCTCAAACAGCACTAAAAATATAATAAAATATTTTTTAATCTAGTGAAAAAGAAGAAAACACAAAACAAAACACAAGAGTGAAACCAAAGCAATCAAAACACGCGTAACCATCTAGCTATAGCTTTAGCGTCGGTTGCACTCTTTTCCTTTTCTTGCTTTTCTCTGTTTCATTAATCAAACTAAACTAAAGTTAAAATAGCGACAATACTACCTGGCAAGCAAGGTAAACCTAACCTACGTCATAATTTATCCATATCGTTTGTCATTTACTGAGTAACGAACAATTTTTAAAAAAATAAGCGAAAATGGTGTGCAACAACTGCTTTTACTCTATAAGAGATTTTACTCTACTATTAAGTGATAGAAGACGTCTGATTGAGTTTCTGGTGGAGCATGGATTAGTCAATAAAAATTTCCAATGTGATACATGTGCCAGAAGATTAGACAACAACGTTAATAATTTATTATACACGTGTTTCAAACAATACAGAACTGGAAATAATATTAAGAAATGCAGTACTAAGAAAAATGGAAAAAAATACATGGTTTTCAAAGTCCAAATTAACCATAGAGAATGTGCTGTATTTTACTGTACTTTGGTTGTGCCATATCCTCGGCAAAAACTTATAATGAGGGAAATAAAATGTAGCCAAAGAACAGTAGTTGATTGGTCATCATATTGTAGGGAAGTATGTATACAATGGAGCTTGGACCATTCCCAACGACTAGGTGGTCCTGGGAAAATTGTCGAAATTGACAAGGCTAAATTTGAGAAGCGTAAATATAATAGAGGACGTCGTATAGAAGAGCAGTGGGTTTTTGGGGGGTTTGAAAGAGATTCCAAGAAAATATTTTTGGTACCTGTTCCGGATAGAAGTGCAGCAACTTTACTCAGGGTCATTCATGAATAGATTCTGCCAGATACAACAATAATATCCGATTGTTGGAAAAGCTATGATACACTGAATGATGAAGGATTCGAGCACTTTGCTGTTAATCATTCCATCTATGTCGATCCGAATACTCATACCCAGAATATAGAGCGAACGTGGAGAAATATCAGAGGATGGATTCCAATGGATTCCCCGATATAGCAGAAGAGAGGCCCATTTTATAGGATACCTTATAGTTTTTGTTCAAAAGAACAGATACTGACGACAGTGACATACATCGTTTTTTTTTGAAATTTCAAAATTATATCCTCCTAATATTTAGCTTTGTTTATGTAACGTTATTTTGGTTTTGTTTTTTATATTTTGCTAGTTTAAGGTTTTATTGTTATAATAGTTTATGTAACGTTATTTTGATTTTGTTTTTTTTACATTTTGTTAGTTTAAGGTTTTATTGTTATAATAGTTTATGTAACGTTATTTTGGTTTTGTTTTTTTTATATTTTGTTAGTTTAAGGTTTTATTTTTATATATTTCATCAAAATAAAATATATTATTTTCATTTTTCAATGTTCGTTTTATTTAAATTAAATTTGCTTTATTTCGGTTAGTTTGATTTTTGCTACAGATATAAAATTTTTAAAGAAAATTCAAAGGAGAAATATCAGAGGATGGATTCCAATGGATTCCCCGATATAGCAGAAGAGAGGCCCATTTTATAGGATACCTTATAGTTTTTGTTCAAAAGAACAGATACTGACGACAGTGACATACATCGTTTTTTTTTTGAAATTTCAAAATTATATCCTCCTAATATTTAGCTTTGTTTATGTAACGTTATTTTGGTTTTGTTTTTTATATTTTGCTAGTTTAAGGTTTTATTGTTATAATAGTTTATGTAACGTTATTTTGATTTTGTTTTTTTTACATTTTGTTAGTTTAAGGTTTTATTGTTATAATAGTTTATGTAACGTTATTTTGGTTTTGTTTTTTTTATATTTTGTTAGTTTAAGGTTTTATTTTTATATATTTCATCAAAATAAAATATATTATTTTCATTTTTCAATGTTTGTTTTATTTAAATTAAATTTGCTTTATTTCGGTTAGTTTGATTTTTGCTGCAGATATAAAATTTTTAAAGAAAATTCAAAGGAGAAATATCAGAGGATGGATTCCAATGGATTCCCCGATATAGCAGAAGAGAGGCTCATTTTATAGGATACCTTATAGTTTTTGTTCAAAAGAACAGATACTGACGACAGTGACATACATCGTTTTTTTTGAAATTTCAAAATTATATCCTCCTAATATTTAGCTTTGTTTATGTAACGTTATTTTGGTTTTGTTTTTTATATTTTGCTAGTTTAAGGTTTTATTGTTATAATAGTTTATGTAACGTTATTTTGATTTTGTTTTTTTTACATTTTGTTAGTTTAAGGTTTTATTGTTATAATAGTTTATGTAACGTTATTTTGGTTTTGTTTTTTTTTATATTTTGTTAGTTTAAGGTTTTATTTTTATATATTTCATCAAAATAAAATATATTATTTTCATTTTTCAATGTTTGTTTTATTTAAATTAAATTTGCTTTATTTCGGTTAGTTTGATTTTTGCTACAGATATAAAATTTTTAAAGAAAATTCAGTGGGACTGGCAAATTGCTTTCCCTTATGTCGGTGTCCATGTCAAATCAAGTGTTAAAATTCTTATAACGTCAAATATGTGTCAAATATTAAATTAAAATAATTTGAAAATCCGTATTCATATATCTCATATTTCTATATTTTCTATATTTTCTCAATTTTTAGCCGACCATACCAATAGGTATTAGGATCGGCAAAAAAAAAGTTTTTTTAATTTCACTCAAAATGAGTTATTTGGGTTATAAATGACCTAAATAGAAAATATTTTCGTGGTGTCTGTCTGTCCGTCCGTCTGTCCGTCTGTAACACGATAACTCAAAAACCGCTAAACCGATTTTAACCAAATTTGGCACAAAACTACTGTGGCACCCGAGAATCTGGCCATTAGTTTTTGGTGGGGGTGGGGTGTTGGTAAGGGGGTATAGGAGGGGGATAAAAATTATAAAAAATCGTAACTCCAAAATTACAGTAGCTAGCGAAACGCGGTTTTCAAATTAAGATTAGGAACAATATTTGCAACAAAATTTGTAATAACATCAAAATCAGTCAAAATTGCAGTTTTCGAGATATTAACATATTTTAGTATGGGCGGCTATACGTGCCTCCCGGCGCCAATTTTTTTAAATGGAAAATGCAATTTTTCTATATTTGTATTTCATGTTTTACCAGTTTGGACTCTTTTACCCCGCCCAGCACCTCTATTCGCTCCCCGGTCCCGTAAGTTTGTTTGGTTGAAAAAATACTTAAAGAAAAACAATTTCTCTTCTTCCCCAGCATATTTACAATCTCTAAGGTCAACAGAATGTGAATATATAAAATGTTTTCCATATAATACAAAAATAGCCGAAAACCGTATATTTTATGCTATTTATAATGGTAACAGTTGCATATTATGAGAGTTGCATAAAATGACATATTATGCAACTGTTACCATAATAAATAACATAAAATGCTCAGTAAAGACAAAAAATCCACAAAATTTCAAATCAATTTCAAATGTCTCAATTCAAATGTGTCAAATTTCAAAAGAAACGTCAAACAGAACTGTCAAGAATCCCCACCCTAAGTCCGTCCACCATATATGAATACATGGATAGCAATATGCTCCTTCCTTAATCTTTTTTTCGAAGTACTAGCCTTACTAAATATACGGAAAGGTAGCTCACCAATCCAAATTTTACCTAGCGAGACACTACACATGGTGCTACAAATTCGAGTACAGGCATATCTCGGTAACCGTAATAGATACGATTATGGTCAAATTGGGGCAAAGTTGCGCTTTGGAATGTTCACCAAGATGCCATCAAAAAAGTTTTAAAAATGTCAAGGATTGCTGAGTTTTTGATTGATTTTCCGTATTCAATGTGTTAACCCACCTCATTGTTAAGTTTGAAAGCTTATCAATATTGTAACGAAGAATATATTAAATATTAAAAAAAACAGAGCCGGACTTGAAATTAGTTTAAATAAATTGTGTTCAAATGTCCGAAACAAAAAAATATAAAGTGTGGATATCATTGTACTCAGTAGACCGAGTTCTTTCAAAACCTAAAATAAAAAATGCCTCTTAAGTTGGCCTCTGTAACACACAAATTATCAGCGAATTTGAAAATCTAAAAATATTGTTAGGTAGCCTTCATAAAGTGGCTATGAGAATGTGCAATTAGTTTTTGGATTTTCTAAAAAGTAATGACAGGAAAAAATAAAATTGATTTTCAAAAAAAATAGTTTTTTCCAAAAACTCAGGATGGCAAATTTTTCAAACTTTTTGGATGGTATCTTGGTGAACATCCCAAAGCGCCACTTTGTCCCAATTTAACCATGTTCATATCTATTACGGTTACCGAGATACCAATGCTCGTACCTCGAATTTGTAGCACTCTGTATATCAGTATTAATGTTTATTAATCGAAAAAATCTCTTTTCCAGAAATGAAATGACAGACAATCACTGTCACTCATTAATTAAACTATTATTTGTTGATTTATTTCTATATTTTTAGGTACAACTACTTTCTAGAAACACTAAAGGAAGTTCGATTGTATACTGGTTTCAGTAATTATTTGTTCCTCGTTATAAAGAGCATTTTGAATATGATATCTTTTCTCGTGGTTTTAACTATTATATCTTACAGAATTCTGGTAAGTCATAAAGTTTTCTTTAGTCTCTAAAGTTAATATACTGGGTGCGTCTCAAAAGTGGCTCACCCCCTATAACTTTTTTATTTTTTCAGATAAAAAAACGAAATTGGATGTTAGTACATAACATAAATTAGGATTAATTAACGTATTCAATTGTTTTTGGTCACTTCCTGTTTCACCGGAAATGACTACAAATTTTGATTTTTAAATGACACCCCCGGTATATTTTTACATTATTCGATAAAAAATGACAGTCTGAATAGAATGACATATTATATGTCAATTTTTGACATTTGCGCATATGGTTTATTTGAAATGGTAACATACGGTTCATAATGACAATTTGACTCGAAATGCCAAGTGTGTGGTAGGTACCAAATTATTCGTAAAAAAATCCTTTTTCCCAATATGCTAACGACCCACCCTTGCTCCATTTGAAAAAATTGAGATATGATTACAAATAAGATTTGGGCATCTTATAACGGGCCCGGATAAGACACGAAAATCATTAGACGCTCAAATATATTTTTCCAAGGCTCCTTGATTAAAACTTAGTGTTATTAACACATCCATGGCACACCCGAGGGGTGTCTCACTACTGGAATTACCTGTACATTTTCTTGGCAGTCGCTGGCAGTCATTGGCAGTCTTATGGCAGTCTCCTATAATAATTACATGGCAGTCATAGGCACTCTTCTTCGCAGTCATTGGCAGTCGCTTGGCAGTAAAATGATATTTTGGCAGTACATGTACATTTTTCACCCAAGTGAGACACCCCTCGGACACTCTTGATTGAAATTTAAAATACGATTTTTTTAAGCTAAAATGTCAAAAGTTGACATATGACATGTCATTCTATTCATTGTGTCATTTTTTATCGAATGAAGTAAAAATATACCGGGGGTGCCATTAAAAAATAATTTAATTTATTAAAAGTCATTTCCGGTGAAACAGGAAGTGGCCAAAAACAATTGAATACGAGAATACGATCAATTCTAATTTATGTCATATACTAACATACCCAATCTTGTTTATTTAACTAAAAAATAAAAAAGTTATAGGGGTGTGCCACTTTTGAGACGCACCCGGTATATTTTATTTTTTTTATTTAAACACCAAACCATTTAAACATCCACATTTAAATATTTTTTAAATGTGGATAATTAAAATCAACTGAAGATGCTGCTGGTACCGATTAAGCTCTGGTAATATGCTGAGTGCCAAAAAAAGGAGAACACCTAAGTCGAGCGTTTCTCAAAAGTGCCTGTATAACTTTTTGGCTCTATAAATTTTTTATTTTTCATAAATATAGGAAGAAGAAAAAACCATTAACCACGGAAAATTAACCACTATTTGGTTGAATTTTACTTATTGAGGGCATTAAGACTACAGGGACTTCAAGTAGGTCAAATGTTACTTTATTATAACCTCAAATTTGTCTCGGGGGTCGAAGGCATTGTTTGGTTTTCATGTTAGGTTAAAATTTAGTTGTTAATAACTTTAAATGGGACCTTATTTGGAGGAGTTCAAATTAGGTTGAAAATTTAATTTATTTCGACCTCATAAGTCGCTATTATGCTTCAAAGGTAAAAGTAACTTAGTTTTGGACTTGGAAGAAAGTCAGACATACGGCAGGTTAAAAATTACCTTTTTTTAATTTCCTCGAGGTGATTTCCGTTTAAAATAGTTTTCGAGGGATTATTATTGTAATATTATTAGAAAGTGCCCCTCCCTAATAGCTAGAAGGTTAAGGGTTGACAGTTGACACTGAAGACCAGATTATTCCTACGCATCCTAATTATTGTTAAACTCATGTAAAACTATTTTATAAATAAACCTATATGATTAAACAATAGTAGTTTAAGTCATATTACATGGCGCAGTCGTAGTGGGTAAAAAGTGGAATAATACCAAACAATACAAAGTGGCGTGGATTGAAGTTAAAAGAAAAGTAAATAAAAGTACATGTGGGGATATAACCTTTAAGTGGTAAAACGAAAAAGCGAAGAAAATTGACCGCCAAATTAGAGTCCTTTTGTGGTGAAACAAATAAAGAAAAGTTCAAAAGGAAAAATGGATGTTAGATTACCAGAACCACTTTCCTTTGATGGAAGTTTAGCTGAAAATTTTCGAAGATTTATAAGCAAAGTTTTGAAATTTATCTAATAGCCAGTGGGAAAAGTGTTTTCACTTTTGATTTAGATGACAAGATGAAGATTGCTTTGTTACTAAATCTAATGGGTGAAGAAGGGATAGAAGTCTGCAACACATTAAAATTAACAGAGGTACAAAGAGCTAATTTTCAAACAGTACTAAATGAATTGGAGAATTATATGACTCCGAAAAAGAACGTAGCGTATGAAAGGTTTCTATTTTACTCAAGGAATCAAGAAGATGAAGAAACATTTGACCATTTCTATACTGATTTGAAAAAGTTATCAAAAAACTGTGAATTTGAGCAGTCGACTGATTCAATGATCAGAGATAGGATTGTCTTGGGGATCAAGTCGAGGCAAGTCCAAGAAAAACTACTTAACGTGACAAGTTAGATCTCAATAAGGCTATTCAGCTCTGTCGAGCATGTGAAATCGCAAAATCCAAAATACAAAGTGTACAAGGTGCTGAAGCTAAAGTTGAAGTTGTTCAAAACAAAGCAAAGACAGCACAAAGGCATGGCAATACTGAAGAGAAGACATTAATAAGCTGTAAAAGCTGCGGAAAGAAGCATGAAAAAAGAAGATGTCCAGCATTTGGCAGAAAGTGCAACAAATGTAGGCGCTATGGACATTTCGAGAAGATGTGTAGAAACACAATGATGGTGAAGGAGCTACAAGAAAGTAAAGAAGGGGAAAAAGATGAAGAACTCTTAGTATCTGTTGTGACAGTAAGTGAAGTGAAAAGTGAATCGGAGTGGATAGAGACATTAGAATTTGGTAAGCAAAATATTAGAGTTAAGGTAGACACAGGGTCTCAGGTTAATTTGATTCCACAACATATACTTAAAAGTATTAAAAATCAAGATATTGCATGGCAAAAAACAAAATTGGTACTTGAAACCTATGGAGGTTTTAAAATAACGCCAATAGGTGTAGTAAAATTAAAATGTAAATTTAGAGATAAGGATTACACGATACAATTTGTTGTTGTAAAAGATAAATCGATGCCTATTTTAAGTCTACAGTCGTCCATGACAATGAATATTTTAAAGAAAATTAATGAAGTTAATTTAGAGTTAGATAAGGACAGTTTTATTAATAATAACAAAGATTTATTTACAGGAATAGGGAAATTTAAAGAACAATGTAAATTAAAAGTAAAAAACAATGCCAGTCCTGTAGCTAAGCCACCCAGAAGGGTTCCTTTATCAATAAAAGACAGGTTGAAAAAACACCTGGATGCTTTAGTTAACAAAGGCATTATTGCTAAACACCAAGGACCGACTGAATGGCTTAGTAACCTAGTTATTATTGAAAAAAGTAACAAAACATTAAGAGTATGTTTAGATCCTAAGAATCTTAACGAAGTATTAGAAAGAGAATATTTTGAGATACCAACCTTAGAAGATATATGTGTTACCCTTAAAAATAAAAGCTACTTTACTGTACTAGATTTAAAGATGGGTTTTATCAGGTAGAGTTAGATTTAGAGTCAAGTAAACTGTGTGCTTTTGGAACACCCTTAGGAGTGTATAGATTTCTTCGTCTACCATTTAGGTTAAATTGTGCCCCAGAATATTTTCAAAAATTAAATCAAGAACACTTTGGTGATATTCCAGGACTGATAGTTTACTTTGACGATATTCTTATAGCGGCTGATACATCAGAAGAACATGATAAGATATTAACTAGAGTGTTAGAAAGAGCAAAGAAATATAATGTCAAATTATTTAGGCAATATTTTTGACAGGGAAGGTATGAGGCCTGATAAAAATAAAATTAAAGCAACACAAAATTTGGAACAACCAAATAATAAGAAAGAATTACAAAAACTTCTGGGAATCATTAATTATTTAAGAAGGTATATACCCAACCTGTCAGAGATATCTGCACCACTGCGAATATTATTAAAAAATAACACAGACTTGATATGGACTGATAAACAAACAAAGTGTTTACAAATGTTAAAAAATATTGTTAGTTCAGTTCCAGTATTAGCTAATTTTGATGTAAACAAAGAAATAACAATACAAACGGACTCAAGTCAAAGCGGTGTAGGGTGCGTGTTGTTGCAGGAAAACAGGCCTGTTGCTTTTGGATCACGTGCTCTTACAGATAGTGAAACTCGTTTTAGTCAAATTGAAAACGAAATGAATGCTATACTATATTCATGCCAGAAATATCACAGTTATATTTACGGTAGAAAGGTTAAAATACTAACTGATCACAAACCAAAGTATCAAAAGTATCAATAATGAAAAAAGGTGTTGCAGAAGTAAGTTCGCCAAGATTACAAAGAATTAAAGTAAAATTGTTGAAATATGACATTGACATTCGATATTTACCAGGAAAAGATATGCTTATAGCAGATCTCCTCTCAAGAAATTATATTAAAGACGATATAGGTAGTGATAATACATTTTTGACAGAAATTGTTCAGTCAATAAATGTAACTGATGATAAATTAAAGGAACTTCAAAGTGAAACGAGTAAAGATTTTGAACTAAAAATATTAAAGGAAATTTGTTTAAAAGGTTGGCCTAAAACAATAACTAAAACACCAAGTCCTATAAGAAAATATTACAACTATAAAACTGACATATATACTTCTAATGATATTATGTTTCTAGGAGATAGAATAATTGTTCCAGAGACTTTAAGGACAGATATGCTTACACAACTTCACGCAAATCATTATGGTATCACTAAGACACAAAAAAGGGCTAAATCCTTATTGTATTGGCCAGGAATAAATGAAGATATTAAGGAATTTATAAAGAAATGTAAGAATTGTGAAGTGTATCAAAAGAGTAACATAAAAGAGCCCATGATTTTGAGAAAAAT